GAAATTGGTGAAAATCGGGGTGAACGAGTACGAGTGAGAAAGTGGCGCGCAAGAGGTGGTATGTATTTTTATTTTTCGCGTGCATCATATCAGTATCAACGACCATACATTCTTGAACAATACTTATGGATTTTTGCAATTGTTTCGAGGCTCGTTGTCTCTATTTCTATCTCTCTCTCTCACTCTCATACTGTGCTTTTGTTGGCCAGCTCAACAACTGAACATTCACAAGTTGAAATACCGAAAAGAGCAGTCGATGCGCCACGAATAATAAAGAAAAGGCTGCCAGTTGGAAAAATCGAGATACGAGAAAAAACAAAAGAGCATCACACACGCATACATGATGTGAACAGTATGAGCGAGCGAAGTGAACAAAGCAACAACAAAGAGACAGAGGAAAGATTGAGGGAGAGAGAGAGAGAAAGGGAGCGAAAAAAGCGCAAGAAAATAAATAAATAAAATAACGAGAATAACTACGAAACACGACGATGGAGTCGAAAAGGAGAAGAGCGCTCTGGTGTTTTCTACTTTGTATTTAGCACTACCACAATCACCGCCACATCGTCTGCATTCAAGCGAAATGTACAGTGGCATGTATTGCTATTCACGTCACTTACATTTTTTGAGTCGTTTTGTATTGTTGTGTCCATGTCCATGGTACGAAAGGAGAAAGAGAAAGCACTAACACACTCTCTCTCTCGCATTGTGTACGATATATGGAATTGTAATTTCACTGTTTTCTCCTGTTTATGTGAATGTCTAAAATAAGCGCTAGACACAAACGCAAGCCAGAACAACGAACGACACATCAACCGAACGAAGCAACAACATAAATCTATTTCAACCGAATGTACACAATTATATCCATTTTGGCCATAAAATGTTGAGATTTTATGAGAGCTTTCGTTTTGTTTCCACTTTTTTATACGCTCGTTTACTCTGTACCTCCTCCCCGTTCATTGGCTTCCTTTATCACATGTATTTTGAAGGGAAATTCTTAATATTTTCGTGATTTTGTCAGTGCATTTTCTTTTTCTGCTGCGTTATACGCTTTTTTGTGTATTCGGTTCTTTATTGTTGTTTATGCTCGCAATCCTGTGTAACGACATGCCGCGCGATTATATTCTTCATTTTTGGTTTTGTGTTCACGCAACGACTTTATTTCGGAATAATAAAAACACAAAATATTAGCGACAAAACGAAATACAACGGAGAAATCCTTACAAATAAGAATAAAATAAATACAAATTGGAGAGCTTTTCAAGCGGGAGCTGCACACGCGACCATTCCATTATAACAACAAGAGCAGCAGCAACTAAACGAAGTGTACGAAGAAAAAACGCTGCCCGAACGGAACGACTGGGAATGAACATGCTGGACTTGAAGTGCTTGTTCACAAGAGTATTTCTGCATTCACCTTACAAATTTTCTATGCTTGAAAGAACAAAAGCGACTGACTGCCGACAAATGCTTACACTTAAGCCTACGTTTGGTATAACTCTCTAGTAACAATAAGTTTCCAGTGTGGTATTTCCTTTTAATTTTTCCCATTTTAGTTCTTATTTTTATAAAGATATTTTCTATATTTATTTCTTGTTTTTTTTTTGTTTGTTTGTTGCGTTCAAAGTTTTTTTTTCATTTTTTTTTACTTCAGTATTAGGATACACAAAATATCATCAATTTTTTTTTATTATTATTAATGATAATAGTCAGTAATATTAATTGTAGCTTTAGGTCTAGGTAGTCTACAGTTTTTTTTTTGGGAATTGGTTTTTGTTCAGGTCTTTACGTATGTACAAATTTTTATTCGCTTGTGTTTGTATAGCGGAATCACATGCTTCGGGGTGTCCGGGTGTTCAACCGGAATGACAATTCACTGTTCCGGTTCGATCTTGATTTTCTTTCCGCTCTTTTTATCGCTTTGTTTTCGATCATCCGATCGAGTCTTATTTAGTCTGTTTCCTCCTTTTTTTATTCTTTCATTCCTGCTCTATTCTGTAGTCAATTTTCATTTGTTTATGTGCTATTGTTTGGATTTATTTTCTGTGCGTTTTACCTTTTGCATTGTCCGGTATCGCAGTCGTTGATATTGTGTTGGCCGAGCTTAGGCTGTTGCTGTTGCTGCTCCGGCTAGCGTTGTTTTCTCCATTCGGGGGTGGTGCGGTATATGGTAGGGCACAATTTGTTCGCTTTGAAATCATCATGTGGCTCGATTTTACTGCAATCCATTCATTGCGTGATGCATCAAACCACGTTAAGCCCAAATTGTACCGACCATTCAAATTAGCATGTTGACAATGCGAAAACCACCAGCCGCCCTCATAATTGCCAGCACAATGCGTATTCGATATGTCTCGGTCAACATCGATTGCCGAAAATTGCATGTCATTCTGATATTGGAATGCATCCGATGCATTACCACTGTAACCTGATATGCTTAAGCGATATCCATCTTCGCGTGTCGCCACATTGAATGTACTATAAATCGCTTCCCAAGTATTATCATAAATATCTTGCATAATTATTTTTAAACTTGTGCAATTGTCAGCGGTCAAATGATTCAATATCGTGTTGCCAATCCAATATTCGCCGGATGGCGTACCAAAACCTGTGAAATGCAAATCAAACGTAACATAAACAATATGGGACAACGGTTCTTTTATAAATTTCTACTGTACGCTGTCAATTTTATATTTTGGCCTATTGAAACCAACCAAGCAATGCAAAAGTATTGTCTGGCGTTTTACTGCAGAGACTAACCATATACCATAAGAGAGAAAAAGTACGAGCAATACACAAATGCATTTTTTCATCGCTTCTTACCTTGGCTGTATTCATCCCATGATCGATTGAAATCGACACTTCCGTCATTTCGCCGTTGAATCGTTGTCCATTGATTCACGCAATTCGCCAAAATTGGATGTTGTTGGCCACCAGGTGCAATCATAAATAGACCCGTTGAATTCTGCTCGATTTGCGAACAATCTGATGGTAATTTATTAATAATCGATTCGTATTGATGCTCAACCGTTTCCAATTGTTTCACTAATTTCGATGCCATCTGAATCTCGCCAATTACATTTTGCTGTGGGCTTTTTGATTTCGAATCCGATTCAATCTAATTTGTGTGTGTGCAAATGGGGAAAAAAACACGTAATGTAAATAGCATGTCGGAATAGAAATGTTGCAAATAAAAATTTGATAGCTATGCGTTTATCGATTAGAGAGAAAAATACAATATATTTGAAGTCGATTCAATGAAACTAACCTTTTCGATGCGTTTGTGGAACATGTGACGATGGGCAAAAGCTCCGGCACGTACTTTTGTGAAATTGTGCTTCAAATCATTTACGGTTTGTTCCAATTGTTTGATTACATCACGATCGTCCTGCAAAGCGCTGACACTTACAGCCAAAGCTTGAATGCTTTTCGCTGCATTTTGCCCTTCTTCGCGCAATAACGCGTATTCCGATGCAACTTGAGCTGCATTGAATTCAACCTTCGAAATTTCACGTTTAATGTCAGGAATTGTTTTGTCAAATTTATTTTGAATGCCTTCAATATCCTCGAGCAGTTCGAGCATCGAACCGTGCAATCGATCCAAACTTGCCACCTGACGGCTCATATTGAAATTAGCGTTGGCTAGGCGTTTTTGTTCGTTTTCCAAATTGTGTAATCGTTCGCCGATATGGTGATGCTGTAATTCATTCAATTGGCGTTTCATAGCTTTTTGCACCACATCCAAATCATGTAAATGCTGTCGAATGAAACGTCGATGGCGCAGACGATGATCTGCTTCAGGCTTTACATAATCTATAGTTCCCGGTGCTTTTTGATTCTGAAAATGGATACAAATAAAAAAAACATGAAATCAAATTCACTTTTTTAAAAGGTGAAAACGCTCATTAAACGCACAACAACATCAACAACAACCAAAAAAACAAAGGTTCAAATGGAACAATAATATGTTTACAAACATAATAAATTAGACGTAATCATAATAATAAAATCATTGTATTTTCTTGCATTTTTGTGGCTTTGAATATTTTGTTTGATTTGATTCGATACATGATTTTTCCGTTTTTACATTGTTCACCGGCCGATTTTGATTTGAGTGGTTTTTGGTTTTTTTCCATATTTTTTTTCGACAGTGCAATATCACATCACATTTACACAATCAGAAAAAACAATCGAACAATTTACTGACACGCAAACTAATAAATTATTTAAGAGACTCTCTCTCGCTATTGTTAGCCTATTATAACTACCTATGAATTAATGAGCGATTTGTGCACTGCGGTTTTGTCCGCTTCGCTTTCAACAACAACAGAGGCGTCGATGACGATGATGACGATGATGATGACAAGATTGGCAAAAGTAGGTAGCGGGAGCGGCATTGGCATGACGATTGTATGGCATTTTAAACGAAAATATCAAGTCAATTCAATATCGTTTTTCGAGCCATAATAAATGGCCTGTGCGAGTGTTGGTTGTAGGCTAAAGCTTAAAAAGTGATTTGTAAACTATATGGTTGAAGTTTTGTATAGCAAGCTATTGCTGCGTCGCATGCCGAATAATGTGAAAGCTCATTTTCAAATCGTAAAACACAAACATTCATATGCATCCTCGCATCGCTGTAATATACAATCATTAGCCATATTCAAACCCATACAAATACCGGTTGTTGTTGCTGTGGTGTTGCCAAGGCTCGAGACTTATTCAAATTCATCACACACAAACACACACACACACACGTTCACAACTGCCACATATTTATTCGTGAATGAAATTTATTTACCATCTGAACTTTGTTTTTTTTCCATTCCGTTTAGTTGTGTTCATTTTGAGTCAAAGAATGAGCGTGGCTCGGCTTTTTTTTTTCATTTTGGTTCTTGTAATCGTGGCGTTCGTGTTCGTAGCTCCTTTTTTGACTCACAAAACACATTCGTTTGCCGTTTGCACGCTCATCGTTAAGATTTCGGTATGGCGATAAATTATTTCAAAAGTCTATTTCTACTCTTTACCGTGCGTAAACATCGCGTACACTATATTTAATGGAAACATGGAACGAAATGGAATACAGATGACGAAGATATACAGATAAAAAAAAAACATTCTTTTTCACATTTGTGATTAACCAAAAGTAAGCGAGCATTCATGCGAGGAGAGTGATATTCGAGTGCCCGTACTGCGCGCGCTTTTCCCTCAATTTTTAATAAATTATAGAATAGCACAATTTCACGCTCATTTGCTCAATTTAACATTCACTTGTCAAATTGATACGCATTTCGATTTTCAAACGCTTAATTTTTCGGTAATATTAAATATTCAATGTTCATCGTTTATCATCATCCTTCGGATAAACTTTATTCAATCAAACCCTTGAATGTGGGACGTTTTATTCGTGACCGAACCGAAGTGCTGACTTTCACTTCAAAATTTATTAGAGGATCTAGTTTTCGTGGGAATCACCGTTTGTCAGTTGACAATTGTTGATGTCGAGACAGTTAGTGTGTGTGCGTGTGTGTATGCCGAGACTCGATGTGTATGTCAAATTATCGGAGAAGCACTTTGATTGTTGACTGTCGTGAAATGGTATCACTTAACTTGTTATTCCATTTGAAAATGACGCATCGCACTCTTCGGGTGGAAGTTGTTTCAATTTATTTGTTTGCATTGACTGTAAGAGCGTGTGATAGATAGATAGAGAGAAGGGAGAGAAAGAGATAATTATTGGATGGCGACACTGCTAAATCATTTGATTGACGTGTATCAGTATGCCCGTTTTGAATTACTATCCAATTTGTTTTAAAATGGAAAATTGGTCTTGCCACTCGCAATTTTGAACTGTCTGGTTTGGTTGTGGTTCATTTTTCGAAATGTTTACTCAGGCATGGAGAATGGAAAAGGGACAATGCAAGAGAATTTGCACGCATATGCAATTTTCAGTATCAATTTTATTTGGTCAAATTTGCTATTTTCAAATGACATTTGAAGATTCTAATTTATTGTTTCTACCATCTTTTTGAGTGTAATGTGTAGAATGATGTATATGACGCAAATGCGATACACACACAAACGGAAGAAGACATTGGAGCAAACTCAAAACCTAAATCAATATGGTTTTGTTATCATTTTCCAATCGTTTTATAGCGGCTCACCAGTACCAAACCGATGCCGCACCAAGATATACCGGTTGATAAATGATGTATAGGCCTGATGATGTTATTAAGTTCGAAATGTTTTGATTCACTTTCAACACCATCCATTTCACTTCAAGTGTTTGATTATGGAAAATGCGTGTATCGTGCATATACGAAACGGCCATTATTTTGATATTTGAATGGTGTCTGTTCACATCTCGATGTGTCTCATGCGACATCGCATAAGGGCATTTTTAACATCCGTTTAACAAGTAGAACTCAAGTTCCAAGATAAAATCCAATCTATTCGAAAAAGCATATATTGTGTATGTGTATATGATTGGAAAAGAACTCTTTTTGGAAACTCCAGTTGCTCTCTCTTTTTTTACGCTGTAATTCCATCGTAAACATTTCGAATAATAAAAATCATTCCAATCCATATCGAAATGGCAACGGAGAATGGAAGCGACATAACAGTGAGCAACAGACGGAAAAATATGCATAATTTCATAGCTTGTGTAGATAAAATCGTTCGAATATGCCATCATTCATTGCGATTGACCCGCTTTTTATGTATTATACATTCCGTTCGATTCCTCCCTCACTGTTTCTCATATGAATTCTCAATCATATGGTCAAATATATATTACATGCCTTGATCGCGCATCGATTTAATGGTCTCTATCTCGAATTCTTGAAGTATTCACATTTCGCTTTTTCTTTCTGGAGATCTACATATTGGTCTCGAAAAACAATCGATGAAAATCAACTCGTAGGAATAAATGGAATAATATCGACAGAATAAAAAGCAAAATATAATCCAAATCACGATAAGAAAAGGTTCGGTCATCAGGAAAAACGCAAACTAACAAGGGATGGCAAACGAAAAAATATTGGCTCTTTTAAGTTGCTATCAGGACACAATATGTACATATAGTATATGTAAATGTGATCGTTTACTGTCCTTTCATTTGAGACAAAAAAACCGGGAAGCATCAAAGGAACTCGGTTTACCGAAGCATAGGTAAATGGCTATCGCGACAGTGGACAGTGCGCACCTTGAGATAAATGTTTTTTCAGATGTCCTCTCGAACAAAAACCGACCAAAGAGAATAATACGTCGATTTTTTTCATCTCAAACTTCAGATCCAATCATGAATAAGAAATGATCTCATTCAAATTCATATTGACCATTCCCCATGAACTCTTTTCGTCTGCTGAGTTTTTTCCCCGTTTAGTTTGTTTTTTTTTTTTATTCTTTTTTTGCATCGATTTGAATTTTTTCGTTGATAACAATGTACATCTCCTACTGACGATTTATTAAGATGAATCATCAGGCGCATTTTCTTGAGAGTATTTTTCAAAATATATTGGTGAAATTTTCGGTGGGTTTCACATATTTTGTTAGTAGGGATATGATGCCACTTGATGTGCCAATATAATAAGAGAATATATTCTCAATCGAAACGAGAGACAAAAATAATATGAATACCGGTCATTGAGTTGTGGAAAAACCTTGTGAAATCGTTAGCTATTTTCATGAATTTTGAGTCCGTGCTTTTTGTCGTCATTGATTGCGAAATATCATACTGTTTGATGATTTCGTAGCCTGGTGTTTGGTTTTGGCTGGCTGTGTTTTGGGGTGTTCGGTTTAACCTACGACTAGTGGTAGTGGCTTCGATGTGTGCAATTCCGTTGTGCTTCTCCTGGTTTATTGGTTGGTTGCTTTAAATACGTGTTTAAATTTAAATTCAACACGCTTCATAAAATATGTACGTGCATTAGTGCCATTCGGGGGGAGGGGAGGGGAAACGTTTCAAGTTTGGTGCATATGACGTTCTTTTGACGCGGCAATTGACTAACTTTAAAAATGCACAATTTCGTAAAACTGGGCGATTTTACGATGTGTTAAAGTTGGGCCTTCAGAACTTTGTTCTCACTATTCGGATTTTTTTTTTGCAACGCGCTAAAAATGGCTAACTATGACGCCACCATATGGAAAATTATTTACCAATCTCATGCATGTATTTTTAAATTAGAGTAAATTGCGACGACTGCCAATACCATGTATGTTTTGATGTGTGTGAGGTGGCGCACACAAATGCTATTGGTTTTGAGTGTTGAGAACGAGAGGCAAGCATGAAATGAACCAACACTAAATGACACATTGAATGTGTAGAGCGCATAAAGCCTTCGCAAAGTGCTTAGAAAATGGGTTATTGTACGACGATAAATATATGGAAATTGACTGTTTTCTGGCTTGCACGCTTGACACATAAATCAATAATAAGCTTTTGAAAATCTGCGCTTAATTAAATGCCAGCAAAAATTAAAATAAGGAGAAAAGACAGAAAAAAGCTCACATAACATTATTCTGCCGTCATATAAAATTCATGGGAAAGAGTAAATAAACGCATGCATTTTGGTAAAAAACATAGAAGCATTTTGATTGAACGACAAGACTAATAGCTGTTCACTTTTCCATTGAACATGGCGATTCTTTTATGTTGGCTGATGCACATGACGGTTTTATAAAACCCGCCAACCAAATATATCAAATGTGGAATTTGCCGCAAGTAGAAAATATTGCCATAAAAAGCAGAAATCCGGTAACCATGAGCAACACAAAATGCAACCAGCGCACTCACAAAATGAATATAGACGACATTACGTGTGATGCATCCATTTTTGCAAG